TTTAGCTTCAGCTTGAACTTTCATATGAGTAGTTGGAGGTCTGTTCCACAATCAGCACCTGAGCTAGTTTTCACAGCTGATATTGAGCTTCTCCAGTGATTCTTTCCACAGATGTAATAAATCTGATCCCTATGCATACCATCAGGTGAAATCCATGTATATAGCCTGCGTTTATGTTTCTTATAAAACATGTTTGCAATGAATAAATCATTGAATGTACAAAGTTCTGTCTATCTCCAACTTAATTTCTTTTACCAAATCCATGTTTTCCAACTACTGATCTTTCTTCTCTGTTCCCAACTTTGGCATTCCAGTCACCTGTTATTATTAAAGCATCTTGATTGCATGTTTGATTGATCCCTGACTGCAAAAGTTGGTAGAAACCTTCTATTTCCTCCTCTTTGGCTCTAGTTGTTGGTGCATGTATTCGAATTATAGTGGTATTCACTGGACTTCCTTGTATGCATATGGTTATTATCCTGTCACAGAATTGTATTGCAAGACAGATCTAGAAATGACTTTTACAACTATGGATTCTGCAGCGTCGTCTGACATACTTTGGGCATGTTGCAAGGAGAGGTATGTCCTTGAAGAGGGACATCATGTGTGGGAGGATGGATGGATAGAGCAACAGAGGAAGATCCTCGATGAGATGGATTGATTCAGTGACTCAGGTAATTGGGTAAATGGTGTGTCAGAGACAATAACATTGGCACAGGATAGAGCAGGGTTTAGGGCTGTTGTACATAGGGTTGCTATGAGTCACAGGCACATAACAACAACCATCATCCAATCAGAACCGACCCATAGCTGACCCTCCCACGGGTTTTCAGAGGCAATTGCTCATCCTTTTTCTTTAGAGCAGCTGGTGGATGCAGTGTGCATTTGGTATTGCCCCACAGCTCCTTGCCACTAGGCCACTAGAGGTCCCTATTAGAGAGATGTACATCAAAACAGCAATAAAATATCATCCAACTCCACCTACAATAACAAAGTTTAGTAAATTAGTAAATAACAAATGCTTGTAAGGTTCTGGAGAGATTAGAACTCTGATACAGGTTTGATGGAAAGGAAAAATGATGCAGCCACTTTGGAAAAGAGTTTTGTGCTTCCATGCAAAGTTGCAAATAGAGCTACCATTTGATCCAGCAATCCCACTAGAACTAGGTACATATCCCAAAGAAATATGAGCAACAATGCAACCTCATATACCCTCACTCATGTAGACTGCTGCAGTGTTTATGATAGCAATGAGATGGCAACAGTCTAATATACAGCTGGGTAAAGAAATAATCTACTGTGCATTCACACAGGAGGGGACTGTGTAACACTAAATAATGATAAAGACCTTTTGAAACACTTCATAACATGAGTTCATCTGGAAGGACTTGTGCTACGTAATTCATCATAAAACAACAAATATAATTCAAGACTACTGTTAGGAAAAGCTATGGAAAAGTTTATATACTGCTAGAATCATGCACTTGGTTGACACAGAAGAATTTAATGAAACAATGTATGGTCAAGAGACAATGGTGATTAAGCAGGAAGTTCAAGCTGTTCTGAAGGAGTTGGCAAAAAAACAACAACAAACAAACAAACCCAAACAAGTCCCCAGGAATTGATAGCATACTAGGTGACATATATCACCAGAGAGATGCTGCCTTGGATGTGCTCACCAAGTTGGGCAAAAAAATATAGAGGACAACCACCTGTCCAACTGACTAAAAAGAGAGCCATAGAGTGACCCAAAAGAGGGTGGAAATTTTCGAACAATATTGCTGATGTCAAAAGCAAGCAAAATCCTGCTGAAGATTATCCAAAAAATGACTGAAACAGTGTATCAACAGAGAACTACCAGAAATATAGTCCAGGTTTAGAAGAGGCCATGGCACCAAAGACATTATCAGCAATGTGAGATAGATCTTGGCTGAAAGCAAGGAGTACCAGAGGAATGCCTATCTTTGCAAGACTAGGCAAAGTATATGACTGTGTGGATCAGAACAAATTGTGGCTAACCTTGAGAAAAATAGGAATCCCAGAACACTTTATTTTGCTCATGTGAAACCTATACTTGGATCAGAAAGCAATGTTCAGAACAGAGCAAGGATACGCTACATGGTTCAAAATCAGTAAAGGAGTGTGTCAGAGATGTGTCCTGTCCCTATACTTTTTCAATCGATATGCAGAATAGATCATTCAGGAGGCTTGACTTTATTAGGAGGAATATGGCATCAGGATTGGAGTTAGACTCATCAACAGTCTACATTAAGCACAACCTTGCTTCCAGAAACTGAGGAGGACCTTAGGCATTTGCTGCAGAAAGTCAATGACTGCAGTCTTCAGTTCGGATTGAAGCTCAACATCAAGGAGACAAAAATTCTTACCACTGGCCCAACTGACAGTACCATGCTATATTGAGAAGGGGTTGAGGTTGTTAACAATTCAGCTTGCTCAGCTCCCCAATCAACAGTCTTGGGACCAGCCGTCAAGAAATTAAAAGATGAATTGCATTGAGGAAGTGTGCTGTCACGGACCTCTCCAGAGTGCTGAAGAACAATGGTGTCAATCTGCATACTAAGGTGTGCCAGGTCCAGGCCATAGTCTGTGTAATTACTTGCTGTGCATCAGAGAGCTGACCAGTGACCAAAAATGACAGAAGAAGATTTTATGCCTTTGAGTTGTGGTGCTGGAGAAGAGTATTGAACATACCATGGACTACCAAGAGAACAAACAAGACTGTCCGGGAGAGGATGAACCAGGCAGCTACTTAAAGACAAGAATTTTGAAGCTCTGTCTCAAATACTTTGTGCATATTGCAAGGAGGCACCATTCCTTGGACAAGGATATTATGCTTGAAAGGGTGGAGGAACAGTGCAAGAGAGGAAGATGTGGATGAGATTGATTGACACAGTAACTGGCATAATAAGGGCAGTAGGTGTGTTGGAGATAGTGAGAGTGGCTCAGGATAGAGCAGAGTTCAGAGCTGTTGTACATAGGGTTGCTATGAGATATGGGTGACTTGATGTCACATAAAAACAACAGAATCATTTTTAGGTGGTTATCAGGGAGGCCCTCTATGAGGTGGATTGATTCAGTGACTGGGATAATTGGGATGGGAGTGTCAGAGACAGTGCGATTGGCACAGGACAGAGCGGAGTTTAGGGCTGTTGTACATAGGGTCGCTATGAGTCGCAGGTGACTCAACGGCACATAACAACAACAACAACAACATCAGGGAGGATAAAGAAAAGAGTTGTTGTTGTTGTTGTTGTTGTTATTGTTATGTGCCATCAAGTCACCTGTGACTCATAAAGACCCTATATACAACAGCTCTGAACTCTTCTCTATCCTGAGCCAATCTCATCATCTCCAACTGACCTAATCCCATTTCTCCATTGAGTCAATCCATCTCATCCAGGGTTTTCCTCTTCTGTGCCGTCCCTTCACTCTTCCAATTACAATGTTTTTCTCCAAGGATCAGTCTCTTCTGCCCAAAGTATGTGAGATGGTGCTTCCAAAGCCTTGTCTCCAGGGAGCAGGTTAATAAACAGTTAATGTGCATATTAAGAGAGGTGAAAGGAAGACAGTGTCCAATAAGAGGATGATTTGCACAGTATCACTAAATAAAGGAAAAGCACAAACAAAAAGTATAGAATTAATGGAAATCAGAATTGCAAGGAGGAAGTGCGGTAAGTGTGATTACATTGTAAATGTTAAAATTAGTGTTATGGAACAAAATGTGTACAAATTGTTGGGTGAGAAGTTAATTTGCCTTGTAAACTTTCATTCAAATTATATAAGAAAAAGGAAATTTAACAAATTAATTAACAAGAGCAAAAATTTTGGAGTTGAACCGACTTGAGTTTTCCTGGTCTTATGCTGATTGTGACTTTGGGTAGGATACTTGACTTTTCATATTTTTGTCCCTCTCTGAAATGATAGCTCTGATGGAGTAGTCCATGGGGAGTTGTACTACAAACCAAATTGGTGCCTCTCTGGTAGCTCTGATCTACCACTGGCTCTGTGAGAGGAAGATAAAATCTTTTCCTGTGCAATTACAGCCTCGGAAAACCACTGGAGAATTAAGCATGAGTCTATTCCACTGGACGACTGTGAGCTTGAGTTGAGCTGAAACGGCACACAGCTTCCTAATAAAAAAATTCACTAAATGTAACCAGTTATCATTATTTTATTCTACATTCTAATTTCGACAAGATTTCAAATGCTGGCGACAGTGGAATTAAAAATAGAATCTTCTTAATGCTCTCTGCTCCTTGTAGGTTTAGTTGTTTTTAATTCATTCCTTTTTTCTTTTGCTACATGACAATATTGTTGTTCAAAGTGGTATACTTATGAGTGCTTGTTGAAAATACCATCCCAGCATTCAGCAGGTCTTTTTTTTTTTTTTAACTTGGGCTTGTGCTCACTATCCATCTGTAGTTAAATGAGCTCTGAATTATTAAATGTTGTATAAATGTAGTTGAACTTGTTTTTATGTATCTTTTGTCATTGGTACTTAAACACACACACAGAGTTGTGTATATTCTTGTGGATGTGAAAGTTGATAATTTTATCTTCCATTGGTCATATGGGGGATATGTAAGGTTGAAAGATAGTGTAGTAAAGACAGAGTTTCTGTAACACTGAGATTTCATTGTTTCTTACAGGAATGAGTGGAATTCCCTGCATTCCCATTATGGTGGTCCAGTTTTTTTTTTTCCCCTCTCAAGTGGCTGCAGGGATTGGCTAGGTGATTGATTTGGTTCCCAGGGTCCTGGAAATACACAGAGTGTTCTTCATAGTGAATAAGACGTGTCCAGTTTTACACGAGTTTTAAGATTAATTGCTTCACCCTAAAATGTTACAGATTAGTTTGTTTGCTATTTATTTTAATTAGAATGTAATAATTGGTGTCATTAGTAGAAGGGCAAATTGGATCACAAGGAAAGGTAGTCTGCTTTTTAACATGGCTTTTTTTTTTCAATATATGTTTGCAGGACTGGAGATAAGATGGGTAGACTGCTACTTCCCTTTCACTCATCCTTCCTTTGAAATGGAGATAAATTTTCATGGAGAATGGCTGGAAGTCCTTGGCTGTGGAGTGATGGAACAGCAGCTGTTGTATTCAGGTAGACAAAAATCTAGAATTTCCTTTTCAGGATCTTGTGAAAATCACTCTCTGCTTGTATACTACTGGGTTGGAACTGATCCCCAGTTTTCAGAGGCAGTTAATAGCATGGGAGAAGATTGCTCACTCTTAATCCACAGGGCAGCTGGAGGATTAGAACCTATTCCCTTCAAGATTGCAATGCAATTTCTTGCCATTGACCCCCAGAGATCCCTACTGCCTGCTTCCTTACCCTTATTCATAGACTAACTTTAATGTACGTACATAGTCAGATAGAGATAGCGACACTAGCTTTTTCTAGTCAGATTACTTCCTTGCCTTGTTTCCCAAACTTAAATCTGGAAAAAATCTTAATTTCTCACATCTAATTGTGTAAAGTTCTTGAGTTAACCTGCTAATTGAAAAGCTGTGACTACACGCCCGCTCAAAAGTGCCTCAGAAGAAAGGCATGGCAATCTGCTTCCAAAGATATGAGCCGTTGGAGCATAGCTGTGCTCCAACACACTCACGGGACAGCCAGTAGTTGGATTTGATTTGGCATCCATGTTTTGCTAGTATTTTTCCTTAATTATACAGCTTTGCTAAGGTTTCATGTACTTTCTAATCCTTCTCCTTGACATTTAGCTATTTGATTTGTATTTTATGATCATGTTTTAAAGCTTGTTGTTTTTTAATTCCTCAAAGCCTTTTATGGTATTCACATGACTGCAGCTTGCTTTTCAAAGTCCAAACACAATGCCACTGTGTAAATCCTCCCCCTACCCATATACTTCACTGAATATAAAGAGTAAAAAAATCAAACCTTTTGATATGAAGGTGGTGCCAACTCATGGCTGGTGCCCAGAAGACAAAGTGTGTCTGCTTCATAAGGGTTCCAACAAGGGAGCGCTGGTGGTATAGCCTGTAGCTGGTTTTGCTGCTAGCTCAAAGGTGGCACGGGCTGTTCAAATCCACCAGCAACTCCTCAGCAGTCTCCTGCTGTAGAATTAACAGGGTTTCTGTGAGTGGAAACTGGTGTGGCCGCACTGATTTTTATGAGTGATCTTTCCAGAAGCAGACTGCCGCATTTCCCTCCAGCACAGTGGTTACTGTAGTTTGAATCACTGACATTCTGATTAGCAGCCAAGTACTACTTCTTTAATTTAGTAAATGCCTCCAATTCAGAAGACACTTTGTAAATGGTATTGCATTTAACCCATTGGAAGAATGAACAAGGCCATGGTTTTCCAGGCACCCTCAGGGCTATCACTCCAGTACTGGAGAATAAGGATTGAGCTGAGAATGAAGAGGCAGATGGCACCGAGTGCAGAGGGCAGCGCTGGGGGACTGCAAACCTGACATTTTGTTCTTCCCCTTAGTAACCACCATCCATCCACGGGAGTGTCTGTGGTCAGGGGCCAGAGCTCACATGGTAAATTAAGGAATGTTCAGCTAATATATCTGATGTCTCTTGGAATTGTCCTTTGTTGTACGTCTTCCAATATCCTTAATGAGTTTTCATGAGGTTTCTTCATGCAGTAATTGGCTGAATATACTTATCTGAAATGGGTTTCCAAGTCGTTATTGTGCATTAATGAGCCTGCTGTTCTACAATTAGATCAGTCACGTCGGGTATTCTTGACGAGAATGGCAAAGTAGGGAGGGGGATAAAAGTAAGTGAAAACTCCTAGAATTAAGTATGTTTGCAAGTTTCATAGCGATGATGGGATGTACTTCAAGGTGTTAGGAAGCTGCATATTCAATTCAGGTTAAATGCCTTTCAAGAAGGGGCAGACTTGAGAAATGGAGTAAGAGTGAGTTTATCAAAGAAATTCTGCATAGGGTTTGTTATTTGAACTTGGAGTTACGAGTAAATTCTGCACTGTATTCTCCAACTCAAATGTGGCTGGAAGTCTTTAAAGTTTTTAAATTGTGTGCCTGACAGCCACCAACCACAGACATGCACATTTGTCTGGGTTCTGACTTCTTGAAGTATAGTCTGATTCTTGCGTTCCATGCTGAAGACCCTTGTTTAATTCCTTAGCCAAGCACCCCCTGCCCAGTCATCGTCACTTCTCACTCTATCAAAATAGGCTTGCATATTGCTGTTATGCTGAATCGTTTCAATGAAGACGTTCACCTAAGATTAGGAAGAAAAACCCGGTGACCTACTTTGAAAACGTGGCCAGAACTCCGTGGATCGCAGTGGTTCATACTCAGCTGACCCTGGCGATGGCCCAGGACTGAACACTATTCCCTTGCTTTGTGCAGGGATTGCCATGAGTTGGCTGACTCAGTCGCAGCTAACAACGGCAAGGTATAAAGAGACTAGCTATGGTAACATCATTCTTCCAGTTTACCTCTCTTTTATCCTTTTTTAGTATACTTTTCTTTCTCTTTCCATTCCTATTCTTTCCTGTTTCCTGTCCTATTCTGCTTCTGCCCTGTTTTTTTTTCTCTTCATTTTTAATCACAGCTTCCAAGAAGTCATAAAAGTTACTGATCTTGTCTTTAAACTTCTGTTAGAGGCATAGAACCCGAAGAAGCCAGAGGGAACAAGGTCATAGCAATGCCTGTTCACTCCTTAATGCATATCAAGCACCTCTCAAAGTGCTTTATATTATTGTTCAGTGTCATCAAGACTCCCATGACTCACAGTGACCCTATGAACAGATCAAAATCTTGCCCTATCCTGTGCTAGCCTCACAGTATTTGCATTCTCAGCCCCTTGTTGCAGTTACAATGCCAGTCCATTTTGTAGAGGGTTTTCCTCTTTTCTTCTTACCTTTTCCAGCATAAGGTATTTTTCCAAGGACTTGAACCTCCTGACAAGATGCTCTAAGCGTATGAGATGAACTTTCATCATCTCTGCCTTTCAGGAGCATGTTAGTTGCACTTCTTTCCAGACAAATTTGTTTGTTCTTTTGTCAGTTCATTGTATTTTAACACCCAGTGCAATTCAAAGGCGTCATTCTTCTTTGGACACCCTAATGCATTGTCCAACTTTTTTTTTTTAATTTTTATTATTGGTTTACTTACAAAGTTTGTATACATTGTGTTTCACACTATTCTTAATTCACATTGTGTCTTATACAATCATTGGAATGCATTAAGTTTTACAAAATTAATCACCATTGGACTTTGACCACCTTGACCATCATTATCTTGTCTTTTTACCTGGATCCTTTCCATTTCTTTCTCTCCCCTATTTCCGTCCATAAAACTGTGCAACTCTTTGGTTTGTCCCTACCCATCTTCACCCCTCTATTGCCACCACTTCCCCTCTTGAGCTCCAATACCTATTTTACTAGTTAGTCTTCTCTTTTTACAATAATGGTCTTATGCAGTATTTGTCCTTATGAGACTGAGTTGGTTCACTCAGCATAGTTCTTAACAGTCTTGCCCAAGTCACATAGTATTTTTCGAAATTGTTGCTCCTGTGTGCTGCATAGTATTCCATTGTGTGAATGTATTACAATTTCTCAATCCATTACTTTGTGGTTGGACATTTGGGCTGTTATGTACTTGTGATGGTGAATAATGTTGCTATGCACATTGGTGTATAAATCTTAGTTTGTGTCTCAGTTCTAATTTCCTTGGAGTGTGTTCCTTGTAGTGGAATCATAGGGAGTTTGTATGTTCAATTTTTTGGGTCATAGGGAGTTTCTGTTTTCAATATTTTTGAGGAAATGCCAAAGTGTTGTGTACCATTTTACAGTCTCGCCAACAGTGTCTGAGAGTTCTCACCTCTCCAACATCCTTTCCAACATTTATAGCTTGTTGTCCTGCTAAACTTTGTCACTGCTACTGGGGTGAGATGGTATCTCATTCTGGTTTTGATTTGCATCTCTCTTATTGCCAGTGATTTTGAGCATGTTATGTGTCTGTTGGCCATCTGAATATCTTCTTCTGTGAAAAGTCTTTTGATGCCTTTTGCCCATTTTGTAATTGGGTTATGAGTTTTTTTTTTCTTCTGGAAGCCTGGGAGTATTCTGTAAACTTTTATTATGAGACCCTTGTCTGAGATGGTATTGTGAAATACTTGTTCCCAGTCAGTAGATTTTCTTCTTACCCTGTTGGAAAAAGTTTTGTTTAGCACTTTCTTTAGAAAGTCTCATTCATCAATTTTATCCTATCCAGATTATGCATTTCTGGCTGTATTTATTAGGTTCTTTACACCACAGACTAAGCCTTCTTAACTTGCTCCCAGTTTGTCTCTTATGACTATGTGATCTTAGCAATTGATGCAGAAAATATATTTGATCAAATTCAGCACCCTTTTCTGATGAAAACACTCAACAAAATTGGAATAGAGCGGAATTTCCTCGACATAGTGGAAGGTATATATGCAAAACCAAGAGCCAGTATCATTCTCAATAGAGAAAAAATATAAGCATTTTCCTTGCTAACAGGGACCAGACAAGGATGCCCAATGTAACCACTTCTTTTCGATATTGTACTGGAAGTACTTGCTAGGGCACTATGATAAGAAAAGGACATAAAAGACATTCCAATCAACAAAGAGATGGTTAAACTGTCGCTATATGCAGATGATATGATATTGTACACAGAAAACACTAAGGTCTCAACTAAAAACCAATTAGAGCTAGTGGACCAATTTAGTAGGGTAGCAGGATACAAGACCAATGTCCAAATACCAGTGGAATTCCTCTACCATAAAAAGAGAACTCAGAGAAGGAAGCCAAGAAACAAATACCATTTACAACAGCCAACCACAAAATGAGATACTTGGGAGTGAACCTAACTAGAGACATGAAAGATCTAGACAAAGAAAACTATAGAACATTTCTGCAAGACACAATAAAAGACCTAAAGAAATGCAAAAAATGTGCCCTGTTCATGGATAGGAAGACTCAAAATTGTGACAATGACAATCCTACCAAGAGCAATCTACAAGTTCAACACTATCCCAATACAGATATTAAATTCCTTTTTCAGGGAGATTGAAACGGAAATTGTCAAGTGTATTTGGAGAGCAAAGAGACCCTGAATAAGCAAAGC